TGATCTGTCCACTTACGCCTGTGTTTATATTGCCTTCGATTAGCCATATTGACTAGTTGTCGCTGTAACAGTGCTTCACTCATAATAATAATAATAATAATAATAATAATAATAATAATAATAATAATAAATAAAATAATAATAACTGATAATAATAATAATAACTGATAATAACTGATAATAATAGTGTGATTAATTCCCAAATAATTTATAAGCCAATAATATTGAAGCTCTGCACCACAATAACCAATCAGATTTAGTATTTCAGTGTAACTAGTGAGCGTAAGAGTAATAAGATAAAAAAATTTGTTACTGGTATCGCTGAAAATGTTAAGGAAAGTCAAGTTCTCTCATATCTTCAACGACGAAATATTACAACAACGTAGCAAACGCAGAGGAATTCTTTTAGCAAAGATCCACTTTCCTGCCGTTGCCATGGACAAAGAACAAAGCAAAACGGGCGGAAAGGAAGGAATTTAATATCTTTTAGGCGTGGTAACCATGCATGCTGATTTTTCCACCGAAGATGGTAATAATAAAACTATTAGTCGCTATATACCGAGTTTTGGGTTAATAAATACTCGCGTTCGCTATTGCCCGAAGTCGATGAACTTACTGCATTTTTGGACAGTAACCCAATGGACTTTGTGGCTATAACTGAACCCGATGGCTACACAAAGACATTCACATTCGCTTAAGATCGATTAATGGCTTTAATATTCACCGTACAAGCAGCCGTGGTGGTGGTGGTGTGTGTGTCTATTCTTTGCAAAACGTTCCCTGCCAGCGGAGCTTGGATCTTGAAAATCCTGATTTTGATCGAATATATTTGGTTATGGATCCACCCAACTGGCCTGCCAAGACCTCTCTCAGCTATTTTAACTTGCATCGTTTATAAAAGGGTACTAGGGTAGATCTGCCGAAGAAGACTCTTGATCTCATAATAATTGATTTACATGATTTCTAAAATAAGCCGTACATACCTGCTCCGCTTCGATATGCTGACCATAATATAGTTCAATGGGTTCCTAATAAAGTCGACACTATACTCGTAAATCCCCCACTAAACCGATTAAGCGCTTTACACGCCGTTATTCGCGATCTGCCATTAATGCTTTTGGTCGGTGCATGGGCTAGTACTCGCCAATGGTTTGATGATCTTGGTCCAAGTCCCTCTGTAGATGATCTTGAGCCATCACCAAGTCCCTCTGTAGATGATCTTGAGCCATCACCAAGTCCCTCTGTAGATGATCTTGCTGTCTCCTTTTTATCAAAGGAATCAACAGCATTTAACAAACTTATCCCACTGAGGTCTGTAAAGTTTTGCCATTCTGAGAAGCCTTGGATATCAGCGTCGATTAAAAAGCGTATTAAGGAACGTCAAAAAGCCTTCCATAACGGAAATACACTCCGGTGGAAAACATTAAAGTATACAGTTCAAACAGTGGCGTCGTCAGCTTGATAAGTGGGGGGGACTTATTCATATATTCGTGTTTTACATTACTCATTTCTTTTCGAATTGATTGTTTTAACGGTCTGTGAACATGAATATATCAATATGTCCACCCCACTTATCGATGCTGGCGACGCCACTGAGTCAAACCGAAATAACAATAAGAAAGAAAGGATATTACAAAAACAAAGTTCAACATCTAAAGAAAGACGATTGCCGAAAGTACTTACTTTTTCTTATTTGTCAAGACGATTTTATATTTAACTGTATTTCATGGAGGACTTTTTTTTTTGTATTTGACATTTTAGTTGCTTTAAATCCCTAAGGCCAAAATGCATTCATTGCTCACAGGTAAATAAAAAAGTTCATTCAACAATAGGTGATTTCAATATTTGTGGAACATCCTGAAGTTTGACGCGTCGTAAACATTACGCATCCACGCGGATCCTCACTTTAGTTCAAGTGTTATTTACTTCGGATTCTTGTTTGTCTTGGCAGGTTTATCAAAGTGGTTATATAATATTTCCGTCGGGATCGCTTATAATACATATAGCAGACTTTTATGCAGTTATAAGTATCGGCGTTTTGTCAATTTTAGTAGGATTTGTTTGTCATTCAAATAATTCATCTTACTGATTTCCGGAAATCATGTTTCAATGAACACTTGATGAATCTTTATTATAATTATTTACCCTGACAACAAACAATTCATATATGAGCGGGTAGTATTCATAAATGTACATTATAAATTGTACGATATCATGGCGTTGTAAGCATTCCGGCTAGTTATTGTACAGTGATATCCAAGAATGAGTCAAAGTGCCGACGAAGATATGAACTCGACGCTTGAACGAGTCGAGATGGCTGCAACTGTACGTGGCATATTTGACGGTATCGTAAACGAACCAATAAAGCAACTTCAAATGGGTTTGGAATTCATAAAAGAAAATCGATTTGACGATGTGTGGCGGGATGACATGCACAGAACGACACGAGAAAGTCATGTCTCACGCAAGAGACTTTATGCAAACTATCTCCGCTAGCTTTCCCTGCAAACATGCGGAAGCGGCGGGGCACTTTGAAAAAAGTATCTGCGCCGGATTTATTTCTTGAATATGTATACGAAGTGCTTCATAACTCTCCTCTTAGTGAAAATCTTTTTCATGATTCTTACAATGAAACAAAGGAATTGATTTCCCGTAAGATATGGAAGATAAAAGAGTCATTGGAAGCTAAGCACGACGAGAGGCCAGACCAAAAATCCGAGCTGGAAATGATGATTTCAAAAACTGATTTGTTTAATCCAATTCACATCCATCATGCATTACTTTGTTGTCAAATTGCCTATAACTGTCAAAATCCTGAATACATCGAGAAATGCCTCAAAAATTTGGAGAAAGAGCATTTACTCAGCCAATTATCTGTGTCGTATGAGAATGAGCATGTGCCCAAATATGTCATGGCCCGTTGTGGGAACGTGTTATATATCAGTTTTAAAGGGATGAAGTCTCACATTATTTCAGGAACGAATAGTTCATATCGAGGTGATATTTGTAAAGGAATATACCTCTTCAATCTTTTTATGTATAGCAGGGATGTCGTTTCGTTAGTGAACTATGAAAAAAATCGTTATAATAGTTGTTATAGACAGCCTAACTTCGTTTACTTATAGATCATGTTCAATCCACTCACTATATATCCGTAGTATTTTGACTTGAAAACTAGAGTACCTGCAAAATTGCGGTTGCTGTGGGCATTATCAACCGAAAAAATGCATAGGCGTATGACAAGCGTATTCTTGTCATACACCAAGTGGTTTTATTTGCTTGGGCCAGGTTTAGACGTCAAACTTTACTCCGGCTACAGCGAAATATTGCGCGGTTAGGAAAAATATTGCCTCTAAAGCAAAGTTCTCATAAGCATATAGTTTTTAGTTTATGAATCGCAATAATCAGCGATGGCCATTGTCACGGTTCTTCAGCTATTTGGAAGGTCATTAATTTACATGACATGTACACCGGTCCCAAATTCATCCGGCCATGCGTGTAAATGTGGTAAGATATTTGTAAAATTACAGAATTTTGAAGGTAGTTTAGAAAAGTAGTGCTTCCTTTTTTACTATTTCCCAAACTATATATTAGTTTATAGGTCGAATCTCATGACAAGTGAGATGTGTACTTCTCACGGACCGAACGAAAATTTGCAGTCACTGGGTCGCGCGAGATTTAGGTGGTGCGCTGATATTTCGAACTCGACAGAATAGAATTAGCAAGCAATGCGTACACAGGAAGTTAATAAATGACTTTAATATCGAAATGATTGGTTGAGCATGCCATTGATATCAGATCAGCGTGGTAGCAAAGGTTGTATGGTGGGTTATCACAGTGCGTACGTAGATATTGTTAGGTAGGTAGGTAGGTAGGTAGGTAGGTAGGTAGGTAGGTAGGTAGGTAGGTAGGTAGGTAGGTAGGTAGGTAGGTAGGTAGGTAGGTAGGTAGGTAGGTAGGTAGGTAGGTAGGTAGGTAGGTAGGTAGGTAGGTAGGTAGGTAGGTAGGTAGGTAGGTAGGTAGGTAGGTAGGTAGGTAGGTAGGTAGGTAGGTAGGTAGGTAGGTAGGTAGGTAAGTAAGTAGGTAGGTAGGTAGGCAGGTAGGCAGGTTAGGTAGGTAGGTAGGTAGGTAGGTAGGTATGTAGGTAGCAGAAATGTATAGATATGTAAATACGTAGTAGATAGTAGGTTCGAACTAGAGAACACGAAACAACAATAGCTATACTAAATACAGTATTGCGTGATCGTATTGCGCGAGCAGATAAAACAAATAAACACAAAACAAGTAAATAAAATAGCCATGCCAGTAGCAGTTGTTATCGCAGTAACGTCTAGATATATTTTAACGGAAGGTGTTTTTGCCAAAGGCATCAGCTTGATAAATGGCCGTCACACCCTTGCCAAGTTCCGCTTGCGTATTTAAAATAATGCTGGCATTAATATAAATATGTAAAATATATATAGTCTATATATAGTCTATAACAGTCTATATAGCTCATATACTCTAATGAATTTACAATATGTTTTCGAAGTAAGTTTTTTCTGCATGTAGCTATGTCCCCCTTCTCTAGCAAACTTTAATTTTTTGTATTTGACATTTTAGTTGCTTTAAATCCCTACAGGCAAAAATGCTTTTGTTGCTCACGGGTAAAAATTTCATTCAAATTTCAACAATAGGTGATTTCAATAGTTTTTCAACACCTGTAGTTTGACGCGTCGTAAACATTATTAACGCCATACACCCACGCGGATCTTCACTTTAGTTCAAGTGTTATTTACTTCGGATTCTTGTTTGTCTTGGCCGGTTTATCAAAGTGGTTGTACTATTTCCGTCAGGATCTGTCATATTATATATAGCAGTCTTTTATGCAGTTATAAATATTAGCCTTCTCAATTTTAGTAGGCTTTGTTTGTCATTCAAATAATTCATCTGACTGACTTCCGGAAATCAGTTATGTTTCAATGAATACTTGATGATGAATTTACACTGACAACAAACAATTCATATATGAGCGGGTAAATCAGATATAGCATAAATTGTACAATATCGTTTTGTTGTAAGCATTCCGACTAGTTATTGTTCAGTGGTATCCAAGAATGAGTCAAAGTGTCGACGAAGATATGAACTCGACGCTTGAACGAGTCGAGATGGCTGCAATTGTACGTGGCATATTTGATAGTATCGTAAACGAACCAATAAAGCAACTTCAAATGCGTTTGGAATTCATAAAAGAAAATCGATTTGGCGATGTGTGGCGGGATGACACAGAACGGCACGAGAAAGTCATGTCTCACGCAAGAGACTTTATGCAAACTATCTCCGCTAGCTTTCCCTGCAAACATGCGGAAGCGGCGGGGCACATTGAAAAGAGTATCTGCGATTTATTTCTTGAATATGTATACGAAGTGCTTCATAACTCTCTTCTTAGTGAAAATCTTTTTCATGATTCTTACAATGAAACAAAGGAATTGATTTCCCGTAAGATATGGAAGATAAAAGAGTCATTGGAAGCTAAGCACGACGAGAGGCCAGACCAAAAATCCGAGCTGGAAATGATGATTTCAAAAACTGATTTGTTTGATCCAATTCACATCCATCATGCATTACTTTGTTGTCAAATTGCCTATAACTGTCAAAATCCTGAATACATCGAGAAATGCCTCAAAAATTTGGAGAAAGAGCATTTACTCAGCCAATTATCTGTGTCGTATGAGAATGAGCATGTGCCCAAATATGTCATGGCCCGTTGTGGGAACGTGTTATATGTCAGTTTTAAAGGGATGAAGTCTCACATTATTTCAGGAACGAATAGTTCATATCGAGGTGATATTTGTAAAGGTATATACCTCTTCAATCTTTTTATGTATAGCAGGGATGTCGTTTCGTTAGTGAACTATGAAAAAAATCGTTATAATAGTTGTTATAGACAGCCTAACTTCGTTTACTTATAGATCATGTTCAATCCACTCACTATATATCCGTAGTATTTTGACTTGAAAACTAGAGTACCTGCAAAATTGCGGTTGCTGCGGGCATTATCAACCGAAAAAATGCATAGGCGTATGACAAGCGTATTCTTGTCATACACCAAGTGGTTTTATTTGCTTAGGCCAGGTTTAGACGTCAAACTTTACTCCGGCTACAGCGAAATATTGCGCGGTTAGGAAAAATATTGCCTCTAAAGCAAAGTTCTCATAAGCATAGTTTTTAGTTTATGAATCGATCGCAATCATCGGCGATGGCCATTGTCACTAATTTACATGACATGTACACCGATCCCAAATTCATCCAGCCACCTGTAAATGTGGTAAGATATTTGTAAAATTACAGAATTTTTAAGGTTGTTTAAAGAAGTACTGCTTCCTTTTTTACTATTTCCCAAACTATATATTAGTTTATGGATCGAATCTCATGAGAAGTAAGATCTGTAGTTCTCACGGACCGAACGAAAATTTGCAGTCACTGGGTCGCGCGAGATTTAGGTGGTGCGCTGAAATTTCGAACTCGACAGAATAGAATTAGCAAGCAATGCGTACACAGGCAGTTAATATATGATGACTTTAATATCGAAATGATTGGTTGACCATGCCATTGATATCAGATCAGCGTGGTAGCAAAGGTTGTATGGTGGGTTATCACAGTGCGCAGATATAGGTAGGTAGGTAGGTAGGTAGGTAGATAGGTAGGTAAGTAGGTAGGTAGGTAGCATATAGATAGGTAGGTAGGTAGCAGAAATGTATAGATATGTAAATACGTAGTAGATAGTAGGTTCGAACTAGAGAACACGAAACAAGAATAGCTATACTAAATACAGTATTGCGTGATCGCATGCACATACAGCACGCAACTTTAACCATCTCATGCAGCCTATACATTAAATAGATAAAATAGTACATCATGAACAATAACCTGCATGCATATGACAACTTGAACAATGTTCGAAGTGTTACATAAGCAAAACTAAATTTATGGTTAGTAAATGCAAAAATAAAGTCTTGGTATAACAAACTAAATTTAAATTAACAAAAGAACTAAATATAACTATAAAATTAACTCGCTTTAGTTTACACGCGCACCAAAGACAACGATTTGAACTTGATAGATTATTTGCGCGAGCAGATAAAACAAATAAACACAAAACAGGTAAATAAAATAGCCACGCCAGTAGCAGTTGTTATCGCAGTAACCTACCTACACAAACAAGCTTTGCTATTATAGTTGATGATAAGAATAAAACACAATGAACTATATACAAACTGATTTTTAGAAAAGCGAATCATAAACACTGTTTACTATCGTTACAAAAACCCAATCACAAAACTCGACCATATTAGGTAGGTACATACTATCTGCGCTATTGTACTGGGATGCCAGTTAATTCAACAAAAAAAACAAGTTTTAACTCAATTTATTTCCTTACGAATGTAAAATAACCTTTGGTAAAACACTGTTCTTCCTTCCACGTTGTTTCTTTCTACGCATGCTCTATACCGCTGCATAACTGGAGCCTCCCTTAACTTAAAAAGCATCCTTATAATGGCGATCGCTCGAACAATATAAACTGTAAACTATGAACTATCCAATACACCGGGAGGACCGGAGTCGATGCGATCGCATCTTACCAAATGAATAATCATGCAATAATGTGATACTAATGTTCCTTAAATGTTTCAAACATGTTTTCATTAACAGTTTCTTTATAATTTATTTTGTATCTCTTGTGTGGGGCCTTCATTTACTGGAACTAACAAAGCCAGTCTTTGTGCACTTCGAGTCACGATGATAGCTTGATCATCTCCTTTGTATTCTTTTGTCTTATTCCCGACTTGGAAGTTTTTATACCTAACCGACACATGACGAACTTTCTTATCTTGCCCTGGAAACACTTCGTGAACTAGGCCCAGTCGATATTCTCCACGTAGGGTATTCTTGTCTGCTATAATAACGACGTCGCCTGGTTCTAGATTTCGAGTTGTTGTATTCCACTTACGACGAACCACCAATGCTGGGGCATACAATTCCGTCCACTTCTTCCAGAACTCTTCAATTACTCTTTGGACTAGGTAATAACGATTTTTCGGGTTGCTACCTTGAGGTTGCCATCCTCCAGGATTCTTTGCTGTAGATCTGCCCAGCAGCAAACTGTTCGGAGTCAGAATGTTGATGTCAGAATCAGTACCCGGAAGAGACCCAATTGGCCTTTCGTTCAGAAGATTCGAGACTTCGCTACAAACTGTTAAGAATTCGGAAGCTGAGAGACGTTGATTATTCACCGCAAACTTTATCGCTCGTTTGGCACCTTTTACCATCGATTCAATTGTGCCTTGATACCAAGGACTATCTGCCGGGCCAAACTTCCACGTAAGACCATTCTCGATTCCTTTCTTATGTAAAGAGTGATGAACAATGCTTCTCGGCGCCTACTAACTGGGAGCCAGGATCACTGTAAATCACCTCCGGCCAACCACGAACACTGACAAATCTGCTCAGAGCCATAAGGAAAGATTCTGTGTCATAACCAAAAACAGCCTCTATGTGTACTGCCCTCATGACCAAATCTGTAAAAATTACTCCGTATGCCTTGCTACTGGTTCTTTTCTGTACCTCACCTCGTACTGTGTAGGGTCCGAAGAGGTCCAACATCACCTTGTTAAAGGCTGGGGCGGGTTTTACTCTTGCTTCAGGTAATTGTCCCATCAGTTGAGATTGGAACTTTGCTTCTCGTAATTTGCACATTTGGCACTTGCTTTTGACTGATTGAGCCAATTTGCTTCCTTGAGGTACCCAGTACCGTTGACGAAACTGTGCCAGGGTCGCATCACGTCCTCTATGACCTGATGAATGGGCTCGTTGCATGAGAAGTCTAGTAACCGGGTGGTTGTAAGGTAACAACTTCTGTAAATCTGAATCCACCGTCATGGGGTTATAGTTGCTTAGGCGCTGTCCTATGACCCAAAAGTCATCTTTGTCCTTGACTGGAGTCAAACTTGAATAATGGCCCCCCTTTTTACCCTTTCTATCGACTTTCACCATCTCCTTTTGAAGTAACTTTTGAGCGTCCTTTATGATAAAATTCTCGGCTTCCTTTAGCTGATCTGTGGATATTGATAAAGTTCTTCCACCGCCAAAACTCTTCTTCTTGGCGATATTTAATAATCTTGCAAACGACCCATATTAACTTGTTGATATCACTGAACCTTGTGTAGTCGATCAACGGGTTTTTCTCGTCGGCTATCTCTTCTCTGATTGTCAAAGTGTTAGTTACTTTCTTGGACACTTTCTTCTCACCTGGCAGCACGTCTTCTCTCTTTGGGTTAAACTTTAATCCCTACTCTTCAATCGGCTGGTATAAAATGGGGGGGCCATTCCACCAGTGGGAATCATTGCCTAGTTCTTCGGGTGTTCGACCATGAGTCAGCCAATCCGCGGTATTGTGCTCCCCGGACATCGATGCCCAACACGATACGTCGCCATTGGTTGCCGCTTGAATTTCGCCTATTCGTACACCTTCAAAAACCTTAAAACGAGTGCTGGTCTTGTCTATCATACTCAACACCGTCTCTGAATCTACAATCTGTAGGATTCTATCAAATTCGAATCTCGTTTCCTTCTCTATGACCTTCCGTCCTCTTTTGGAGAGAACCGCTGCGTTTAATTCCAACTGTGGCGTAGAGAGCTTCGTGATGGGAGCAATTCGCCCTTTCGCCATAATCAATCGGCACCAAAATTGACCGTTCTCCAACTGCCACCTGATGTACGCTGCGAATCCGTATGCGAGATCACTGCCATCACTTAATATAATCAACCACGGGAGCCCAACTGATTCAACAGGTCGTAGACATCGTTCTAGACACAAACGCTGTAGCTTGAACAGGGAGGAGAAGAAATTGGACCATTTATTGCAAAGGTCGGCGGGGAGTGGGTCATCCCATCCAAGCATGCTAGACCACGTTTCCCTAAGATATATCTTAGCCAATAGTGTGAAGGGGGAGATCAAGCCAAGAGGATCATATATCTTCATTACTTGTTCCAAAACCACTCTTCTAGTCAGGAAGTTGGGTAAGGCACTGGGTAAGTCAGTTTCAGCGAGGTTTGGACCCGTTCGAATACCGCGTTTCTTGCTGCTGAAATTTAGAGTGACTTCATACACAATGCAGTCACTTTTTGGATTCCATCCTAGACCGAGGACACGCAAATTCTCATCCGTTCCCTTCAGCATCACAACTCTTTGATCTAACTGTTCGGTGATCTCATTTGGTACTTCAGTAGCCATCAACTGTTCATGAACCCGCGGACCTGTATCACCACTGAATTGCCAACCCTTAATCGAAAATCCACCCTTGGCCAGGATATCTTCGGTTTCTTTTGCTATCTTCATAGCATCAGTTTTACTGGGTCTTGAATCGATTAAATCATCTACGTAACTAGAATTTTTCAGTAGGTCTGCCGCTTGTGGACTATCTTCATAAAACAACTCCGCCGTCTTGTAAATGGCTTCCGTACTGATAGCAGGTGCTGGCTTGTCACCCATGTTGACGCGTTGAATTGCGTAGATGTGTCGGCGCTCTCAGGAAACGGTGACAATGTTGCTCCATGTCCTTCAAATGCACAGCGTTAAACATCTTTTTGATATCACCTACCATAGCTACTTTCTCCTCACGCCAACGTAGTAAAATCCCTACCAGATTGTTCATATACGAGTCTGGTCCCTTTGCGAGGCACGAATTCAATGAAACACCTTCATGGGTTTGGCTAGAATTGAACACAATCCGGACAGGTGTGGAAGTGGATCGAGGATTTACGACTGCTAGATGCGAAATGTAAAACACAGGACCTGT